GAAAGGAAAACTTGAAATCGCATCATATGACCCCTTTAACTGTCAGTTTTGATCCATTTAATGCTTCCTTGCTGAATAAAAGTATTAATTTATAAAAAATAAAAAAAATAAAAACTTACTGACCCCAAATTTTTGAATGTGTGTTATGTCTTTAAAAATATAATTTAGTTTGAAATTTTGTTATAATACAAAGATATTTATTCATGTTTATGTTTATGTTTAAAACATTTTGCGGCCACTGTATGTGAATGTGCTAACATCATACTTGTGCTAAAAATGCATAAATTTAGTTTTATTACTTTAATCTAGTGCGTTATACTTACTAATGACCCTAATATCAGTGACATTTTTGCAAAGGCAGTGTGTAGAGGCCTTTCTGTGATCATGTGACATACCTATGCTGACGTCTTTTTCCAGTATCTGATGGATTATGTCCTCATACACGTTTTCCACATTGATGAAGTTTGAATAATCAGAAAATATGTATTGCTCAAATTTGGGTAGCTCCTAAAAGTACATTTTGAGAAAAGACTATTAAAAGATATAATCCATTTATGGCTTACATATTTAAGGTTTCAGTGATTGTATTTACACAGTTGATGTCTGTAAGTGATCTCAAATGTACCTCTTTGAAGGATGGGGCCAGATGCTTCTTGATGCTGGGTAGAGTGATGTTGATCAAAGCCTCCTGCAAGATCCTCTTCCTCACTGTGCTGCTGTCATAATCAAATTGCTGTAGGACAAAGACAAATTAAATTATGCAATGACACAATCATCTGTGTTTATAAATGAAAATGATATGCTTACCTTCAGAACCCTGTTTGAAGCCTTTTGCATAGCCATCGAAAGGCTGACCGATGGATCCTCCAGAGCCTTTTGCACGAGCAGCTCAAAAGTGTACTCTATATTTTCCATCAGCTGAAACAATCACACAACAGACATGTTTTGGATCAGAATAAGTCACAGAAAGTTAGAAAAGAGTTGGCTACTTGGTTTTGCAGTTTTGAATACCTGTTTTAGGTCTATCTGTGTGCTGTCCACTAGACCTTTAATGCAATAGTTGAAGGGTTGCTGTAGCTCTTGGACATGATCTGCCAGTCCATTCACTTTCTCATAACAGTTCTGTAAATTAGCCTTACTCATCTTAAATAGAGCCTTCAGTGAGAGAGAAAGAGAAGCAGAGCTATTGTATCGCATCATTTGCTATACAGGTTAGCATTAATGATATTTTAATTTGGCTTCAGAAAAATATAGTGCAAGTCATATGGACTTTTTACGGTGATTAATTGTAAATTTGTTAGTTTCTCTAACCTGTCGGAGTTCCTCCCTCTGCTCAGGGTCCTGGAAGTCCTGACAGAGCTGCTCCATCATGCTCTCACTCAAGTCTCGGGCTTCTATGAAGCCCAGGCTGATGGGCCCCATCACTTCCTCCAAGATGGCTGGCAGGTACGGCTGCACCTGC